ACGGATAAGTGTGGAGTAGAAGACAGGAAGGTAGCCAGCGGTGGGGTAGGGAGGAGGGTCAGACACAGATTCCGAGCACAAAAAAGGAATGGGAACAGAGAGAAGTCACGGCAGCCAGAAGCATGGGCGAGAAATGGAGAGAGAGACAAAGAAAGAAAGTAGTTCAGCTGCCAAGCCTCGCACGGAACAAGGTCATCCTGCGGAACAAGGTCATCCTGCGGAACAAGGTCATCCTGCGGAACAAGGTCATCCTGCGCAGTTTTTGACAGGCCGTGCCTGTCCAGCCTTGAGGCCTGGCTGTCTGATATTCAGCAAGGGGTTAGATCTCTCTGTGCTTTGGTGTCTCTGGCTGCATTTGGTTCATTCTCTCCACCCCCCACACCCCACCGCAGCCTCCTCCACCGCAGCCTCCTCACAATCTAGTGAAAAAAGCCAGTAGCCATGGAGGCTGGCACAAGGCCTTACTTGACTTGGCCAAGTCACATGGCCGGAAAGGACCAGAGCTGGATCTGGGCCCCTGTCTTTGCTCTCCCTTCAGAGCTGCTCCCCAACCCTCACTTCCCTCCTCTGTTCTCCGGGCTGATCAGGCAGTGCCACCCCTGCGCTCACACCACGCCTCTCCCCTCCCTTCCTCCCGCCCGCATTCATGCCTGACCCCCGGCCCCAGAGGGCCCCTCGCTCCCCTCCACCTGTGATGTCTCCTCCTCATCTTCCACCATCCCCGGATCCAGCCCGAGAGACTGCTGCTTCCCTCTCACCATGCCCTGGGACGTCCCACCGCCCAGCGTTGGCCCCCAACACGCTCCACGCGTCTCTTGCAACCCTGAGTTTTCCCCTTTCTTCATCACTGTGAGCTACAAAGCATCTTGTTTCCCCTCCTAGACGGGGTGAAGGGGCCGGGTCATTGAGGTGAGGTCCACAGGTGAATCCATCCTGGGCCCCACAGCACCCACCAGAGCCCTGTGCATCCGAGATGTAGGTGAAGTCCATCCGTGAGTGACGGAACATGGACCGAAAAGGAACCTCGCAGGGTGATCTGATCCTAAATTCCTAACTGGGCAGGTCATAGTGAATAGTCACGCTCCGGGCCGATAACTTCTTTCGTGAAAACTTTCATGCCAGCCTGTCCATGGTTGTCCCGCATCTAGGTTAGCACACCTTTGAAATGCCAGAAGTAGTACCCCTCAAAGTGGGTATTAACCCTCAGGAGAGCACATAACCTTGTTAACTCTCCTGGAATCCGATCCCGCCGGCTCTCTCCCACCCCCACGCCCTCTTCCTTAGTTTCTCTCCTTAATTTCAAATGTGTGAAAGAAGCTGCAAAACTGTCATTCTCCAGAGGATTTTTTGATCCTGCTCCCTGGCATAGGTCATCGGTTTGGCTCACATAAACTCTTACAAAGTTTTCCTACAGGTTTGGACCTTGCTTATGTCAACAGGAAGGAGTAGGTGGCTGCAGGAGAGTCAGACCCAGAGTGACACTGGCCCTCATCGAGTCTAAGGTGAGGCCAGAGAGCTTTCCCTCCCTTTGTCCTGGGTGCTGCCCCAGTGAGCAGGCAGCTAGGCCAAGGGGCACCTCTGGAGACAAGTAAGGCTTCCAGGATGGGGACGGTGACCCTTCTCAAAAGAGTGGCGACAGGGAGCTTGAAGAGCACTCAGCACCCCCCTGATCAATCGTGACCCCTCCTCCTGCTCATGAGGAGACCAAGGCCTCGCACTGGGGTGGACTCCTCCTGGGGTCCTCCAGCATTCAGGGCTCAGGGCTCCAGGGCAGTGCTCCCTGTTTCTTCCAGGCTGTGCTCCTGCCTGCCCTTTTATCAGCACATTCTGTGGAATTGCCCACTCGCCCTGCCAGCCCTGTGGGGTTACTGCTCGTCCTGCCAACCCCTTGGGGTTATGGGCCTTTTAATAACCAGGACCGTGTCTTATGTCCCCTGGCTCAGAAAGCCAGTATATTCAGCAGTTCAGGTGTGTGGCAGATGCTGTGCCACACACTGGAGACAAACAGTGAGTGAGCTAAATGGGCCAACCCTGTCCTCTTGGAGTTAAATGTTTGTTGAGTGAATGAATGAACGTCGGCAGCTGGAATCTCAGGGCCCCTCCACCTTTCCTTCACTCCATTCCTTCAGAGTAAATCCTATTTCACTCGCTATTGTGAGGCTCAGATGATGAGTCGGCAGAGTTTCCCAGGTTTGGCCATTTATCAGAATTCCTGGTGTCGCACATTAAAAATACAGAATTCCAGGCCCCTCCCAGAGCCGCTGTATCAGGATCCTCATGAGAAGGGATGAGAACCTGGGTGTTTGACAAGGCCCCTGGGTCATTCGGGTCATCGGAGAAAACTTCCAGCAGGGGTCCTGCCCTAGTCTCCCTGGACAGCTGTTTCCCACATCCACGTGTGTCAGCCCCACCACGGTTCACTCACCCACGGAGACCTTTCTCAGAGCTGACCTGATCCTGACACTTCTCTGAAACCCTTGCCCTTGTCCTCAGGGCCTAGCCTCCAGCCTCAGGGATCCACCCAAGACCTGGCCTGGCCTCTCTCCCACCTCCCTCTCCAGCCTTCAAGCCATATTGAATTTCCTTCGAAGCACCAGTCCTCAAAATCATAATAATTTTAAAAAAGGCACCAGCCCCTCTCCACTGCAGACCTTTGCCCACCCTGCTCCCCATGCCGGAAACACTTTCTTCTCCCCTCCTTGGGCCACAGCACCCCCTGGCTTGGCTTACTCATGACCTACATGTACCTCCCACCCAGAGACCAGGCTCCCCAACCCCCAACCCTCTGTGTTCTCTCACAGCCTGCCCTCTGGTTGTAAATGAAAAGAGGGGTTCAATGGAAAGTAATCTTGTAGGGTGATCAGATCATAAATTCCTAACTGGGCAGATCACGGTGGGTGTCACGCCTCGGACATATAACTTCCTCAGTGAAGCC